GAACAGCAAGTAGAAGTAGTAGTAAGAGAAGTAAGATTTTGCGGAAATATCCTCATTAGCGCGCTTACAAAATCCCACTTGAGCAAGACTTGCAGACGAACGACCAACCAGCGTGTCGCACGTTCGATGAGTGGGCTTAAAAGGACCCGATTTTCAACAGAACATTTTGTTCAGCGATGAAGTTTACGTTTGGTTGAATGGGTACGTCATACAAACCATGGTTGAGACGCCGTTACATACTCAAAAAGTTGCACTCTATAGACGGAGGGATTCATCAGTTCATATTTCTTCAAATAGGAAACCGGCTATAATAAAACAGTCAATGTGGAGCGCGGAATAGAGGTGTCGGAAGGCATAGAGGTTGGGGATGTGACCGATCTTTGGTCCAACAAGAAATGTACGGTTCGCCATACAGCCAATGAAACAGTCAATTTATTGAAGAAAATTTCTGGTGAACGCTTTATCACACATCGTGAGCCTTGTGGCGGGGGCTCCAAGATCGTGCGATTCAACAACGCTGGTCTATTTTATGTGGGTTTATGGGAAGTTGCTTGTTGACGCAGACGAACTCGAGACTAACCAGCGTGTCAAGCTGGAAGAGAATATTCGGTGCATGATCGACATGCTGCAAAAGTGGTTTACGCCGAGCTCCTCCTCCGAATTAAGGAACCTAGAGTTTATACTGAGCCGACTCCGAATGGTTGAATGTTTTTTTATGAAAAGCGTTTTTATTTCATGTCAAAAATACACTCGGAGGGGTTGACAGTCCGGCGACCGCATTTCGAAAATTTAACTTAATTTTTGGTTTAAATTAAATTTTTTATAACTTTTGGTCTTTGATGTTGGTTTCACGGGAATTTCAACCCGAGCCTTCCGAATGGCAGTACGCAATGCTAACCACTCGGCTTATCTTATAATAAAATAATATCCTTATAATAAACTTAAATTCTTGGTCATAACATTAAATTTATGCGTTGTATTTCTACCTCAAAATCACATGTCTGAAAGAACACCCTTTACATTTGTACATATATGTATGTATTTGAAACAAAGAAAGTGTGGTATTTTTAGATGATTTGTAAATAAAAGAAAATTGAAGGAAAGCAAAAAAAGAAGAATAAAGAAAAAATAGCCCACAAGAAAATGGACGGCATACAGGTGTCAGTATAACGGTGTATACAAAAATACCCATGCCTGCTTCGTCCACGGCAGGCAGCTCGATAGGTTATACAACGTGGAAAAACAATAACAGCAACACTTTAAACAAATACATACATACACCTACGTAAATACGTATGTATGTATGTATGTAAACGTGTACACATACATAACTTTTGCATTGTTTACAAACACTTGTACGTATGCAATTGCAGGGCACGAGTTTTGCACAAACCCATAATTGCATTTCGCATTGCAGGGCGCCACGTTGGGCGAATGTCAGTGCCACCAAAGCAAATTGCTTTTGCGTTTGAAATGCAATAATTACAAAAATATTGTTGCTGGCCATCATTGATGCTGGAATTATAACAAATTTTTTGTTTGTACTTTTCCAAATGCATTTAGGCTGGTGTTGGTATGCAATTTTTGAATGCTATAAATAATGCTTGACATGCGTATTCACATTTAGAAAAGTGAAATTTATATCTGAAACCAAACACGAACCACTGTTATTCAGTTCAGATACTACATACGTACATATGTATGTATATATGCACGTAAATTCAAATCAACTGTGCATACATAGTATATTTGTATGTGGATATTTACCACACCAAATTTGCTGACGTCAAAGAGGTGTAGTTATATGTATGTTTATGTGTGTATGTATGTATGTGCAAACGCAATAGAATCTCCCTCGTCATTCACAAAAAGAAAATCATCGACCATCAAAACAAAAATCCAACTAAATAAATTTTGCAGCAGTAGAGTTGTGTTTCATTGAAAATCTTTATTTGTTCAAAAAAAAAATTATAAATATATATGTATACATACATAGAAATGAGTAGGACAACAAGTACAGTACTTCGTCATTAGCATAGACCAAAAATAAAAAGTGTGCCACTTTTGCTCTTTCACTGTGCCCATTTTTTTTTAACAATTTTAGTTTAAGTATCAAAAAGTCACAGACCAAATATTAAGTACACACATACATACCTACATATTATTTATGAGAAAACACTCTACACCAATTTTCGACATTTCGTTGAAAATTAATATTTTGAGACTTATAGCCTATTTCCACCGCAGCTTAAATGCATTTTAGCTTAAATGTATTTAAACATCGCATTTAAATGCGGTAATTCCCATGTGTTTGTTGTTGTATAAAAGTGTGTTAACTCAAACTCACTTTCGGCAATTTAACAGAAAATGTTATGTTAACATTGGATGCTGTCACTACTAATGTAATCATTTCGGAAGTTTCGGTGTACTTGCCAGAGTCGTGTGTTTTCGGATTTAATGAGGGGCGAGATTTTTATTTTGCATGGTGAAATTTTTTGAATAAAAATTCCTTTTTTGCATTAGTTTTAACATAAATGCCTATATTAAGTAATTGGCGAAGAGAATGCTTCTCCGCCTTCAAAAAAAAACTATAAGAAACAAACAAAAAACAATTGTGGAATATCAAACGATCCCCTCAACATAAAAATATACGTGGCTCTGGTAGCTATCAGCTGATTGCGCAAAATAAATAATTTGAGGGAACAAACAAGCAAATGTGAAAATGGAAACATGTATAAAAGCATTTTCGTTTCAGCGGCGATTGTCCATGTAGAATTAATATGCACTTGCAAATCATAAGATTTCATAAATAGCCAAATAAATTTAATGCGGTCTCTTGAATTCATGATTTCAATAGTTGTGGCAAATTTCGCAAACTGCAAATGTAAACAAAAACCAGCTGTTTGAGTTAACTCACTTTCGGTGGAAACGTTTGACATTTCATTCACTTAACAGAGGCCTTAAATGCATTTAAGTGCTTGGTGGAAATAGGCTATTAAAGTCTCGCTCTCAGCTGAGAAAACTCACTCCATTGAGCAGAAATTGTAGAGCGTCTCAACACCTCCCAATTTATTTGCAGCCATGCTTGCCTTCTTCCACTTTGAAACATCCTGTTATCCAGGCTGTCGGCTTATAACGTAGTCACTCGTGTGTACAAAGCGCCTAATAAACGCACTGAATGGATCCTCTATTCCCAGATCTGTATTTAAACAAGGTGTGACGTACGCCAGCTTAGCTAGTTCCACGTGAGTCCTCTAAGGTAGGTTGCTACCTGTTTTTCTGGGATAAAAACTTTCAGCCACCGCGAGAAGATTTCGTTTGAAATTCACGTATTAGAGCTTGAGTTCTTGCCTAACTGTTGGAGTACTTTCTGACCAATTGACCAGACATTTGCCAAGCTATGTGTGAAAATCGAAATTCGATCGCATATTTTTACTAATTTTGAATACCTGAAACCAGTTTTTTTTTTTTGCAATTACCACTAAGTGCTTCTACAACTGAGAAGCAGTACAGCATTCAGAACGTAACTACCCTCTAGGACAGCACTGTGGCTACACTTTTATAGAATATCACGAGAAAGCGATGAGATTCTACCGGCTTTAATTTTGTAAACTAGACTGGAGAGGTTTAACGACAGCCTTTGTGTTATTATTTTAAGCACCGGTTCATATTTGGTTGAGAAAGTTGACTGAAACGATTTTCGGCCGAGCTACCCTTATAGTTTCTTTTTTGCATCGTAATGTTTTTTCCAACAAATGACGGAACTTATAGTTTATTCAAACCCAACGCCGAACGACCGATGGATTCTTATATAGACTTTTTTATTTTTTTGGCGGAGGGCTTAACATTTCCTGCCGAGCGGTGACCGCTATTATAAAAATTATTTTTAAATTTTAGTCGAACCAAGACTCAAACCCTGGCATTTCAAATGGTCGTACGCAATGCTAACTGCTCGGCTATTGCGGCCCCCATACACATAGCAAACGCTTTCTAATTGCAGAAGCGATTTTTGGCTAAGCTGCTGCTTCAATTTTTGGTGTGCTCCCTGAACTTTATCAAACAAAAGGGGGAAATTTACAGTTTATGGTAAGCTGCCTCCGCTTGGCTAAAAGAGTTTTATGAAGAGCTTCTATTTTCATGTCAGAGCGCATTGTGACCGCAATCAGAAAAATTAAGTTTCCATAATTTTGAATTTCGGTCAAACCAAGGCGTAAGCTCTGGCCCTACGAATGTTAGTAAGCACTTGTCTTGCCCAAAGAAGTACGAGTAAATGCCATCAATAGATTCACCACACTTTTAATTACCACGTGTTGAAGATAATTTCAAATGTCGCAACTTAAAATTCTTGAAATCCTCACTTAAGTAAATAAAATGTTTTTTTTTCGACTTGAACTTAATTTAATTATTTATTTTTTATATTTTTTTCCAATAATTAGTTGTTTTAAATTATTATTTTTTTTTACTAAAAATTTTTTTCCCCAAATTCAAGTTTATTATTCACTAATTTAAATAAATAATAATTTTTTTCTTTCACTACAAAAAGATTTCCAACAGGCAACCTACATAGAAATATATGCGTTAGCTAAGGAGGAGTAAAAATTTATATACATAAGGGCACACTTATTTGCATTTGTTTGTACATACATCGCATGTACGAATATTTGTGTTACCTTCTGTCAACCTCACTACAATACGTCAGCAAAAGAAACGCGGCAAAAAAATTGGAAAGGAAAAAATTTAACACAATTTAAATTATGTTATTTATCACTCTGAACTCACGACTTTTGTTGTTAAGATTATCAATTCTCTTTAATTTCGTTAAAGAAGAAATTTAACACACTTTTTTGTTGTACACACACTCAATGCAAGGAGGCCAAATGTCAACGTCTCGTCTCCTCGCTATAATAGAGATGTTAAAAAGCACATTGTGCTTTGACTTTTTTTCCTTTAAATGTCATGCATTTGTCGCCGATTTACATAATAAAAAGCATAGAACTTACATATGAATAAACAGCTCCTTTTCTCACAGCCGGTTGTGGGTGTAAAAATTAACTGATGATTTTCCCGTTATTTGCTGATGCCGCTTTTAAAATATATTTAACATTTAATGTTCACTTTTCTACTTTTGTCAAATACCGCTGCTGCCGCTCGATATGAATAAAATATAATATTTAGTGCACTCTTCTTCTTTCCTTTATTTTTTGCACTAATAAAATGACATTTATCCAACACTAACAATATGAAAATTGTTCCATATAAACTAATTGAATATTTTTGCTCTTTAAAATTCTATTTAGAAAAAGTTCTAAATTTAAAGTTTGTGGTAAAAGTAAAAAATGAATTTAGAAACCAGCTCCGCACCAAAAATTACCACACACGCAACCGTTTCTATTCAAAAATTCACAGCAACTGAGTACGATGCGCTGTAGCGTGTCACTTAAATACGCGCAAGCAAAGAACACGGTGAAAGTGTTGCCACTTCGATGCAAAGTGGGCGGAAGTGATTCATTTTCCGATTGGATGAAATGAAAATTTTGATAATAATAATAAGTAAAGTGTTATTTATACATATGTACATATAATATCGGACTTTACACTGAACTCAGATAAAATTTATAGGATTCAAATTATTTGTGAACACGACATGAAATATTAGCTTTGGTCCGAAGTATGAAAGTCCTAGAACATGATCATAATGACGTGATTTATTAAGTACCGCTGCTTGAATGCAAGCTGGTCTCTCAGTTTTAATATTAACGAAACTCCAAAATGTGGCGGAAACTGCCTTATATTCTAAGCCGCCTACGAATGGCTAATAGATTTTTATGATTAGCAGAAGTACACTCATATTGATTGACGCTCCCTTCCAAGAGGCGACCGCAGTTAGAAAAATTAAATTTCTAATAATTTTAGATGTTGGCCAAACCAAGAATCGAAACCCAACCATCGGTGAATATTTCATACATGTGATTCTGAGTCACAAAAAAACTTCAATGGTTTATTGATAGAACATGAAAATAGATATTTTAGACACATAGAATAAGGTGAACATGGGTACTGAAAATCATTGAAATCGATAACCGATTTACTCAAATATGAGGCTTAGAGTCGAAAATCCGTGAGAAAAATCATTAAAGTTCGATGTCCTATATACTTGCATAAACTCAAATAAATATGGGCACTGAAAATCAGAGCAAACGAATAGAGATTTTGCACTAAATTTTATGTGTTATTCGAAAGATGAGGGTTCGAATCCTGGTACGACCAACAAACCCAAAGTTATAGAAAAAATTTAGTTAAATGACATGAAATGAGCTCCTCATAAAAACTCATCAGCGAGGATGGTTTGGTATAAATTGTAGGTCCCTCCATGCGTTGGAAAAATATTAAGACCGTAAAAGAGGAGAGGATTGGCCGAAAAGCGCTTCAGCGATTACAAAGCGCCAAATATATGTGTATATATATAAATATATATAAACCACCTCAAAATTAATTATTTGCAAACACATGTTTCCTATTCAAAATCATACATTGAAAAGTACAAAAAACTTTATTCTTATATTTTATTTATGTGGCAACACCATTTTATTTTACCAACGTGTGCAATATTTCGTTCTCACAAAAAGTTAAACCAAACAAAAAAAAAACGAGAATAAATGTATTTCGTCCAACACAGAGTACATTTATGGCAGAGAACATTAGCCACCACCACCACCAGCAGCGACGCAAGCATGTTTGATACTTTGGCGGCATTCCCTTAGTAACGTGTGGAATCCCTTAGCAACATGTGGCCATCACCGGCTGATCTCAAGTATACTCGAAAGGCAGGCGTTTTAGACCTTACAATACCTGCACTGTGTTTGGCCTAACTAAAAAAAAGGATATACTCCTGAAGCATCTACTCGTACATACATAAGTACTTGCTGGCTTGTAGGAATTACCTAAAAGAAATTTCAAACATTTTTTTTTAATTCTTAGCTTTGACGTTTCTTAATTACTGTGACGTGAATTTACAATAATTTAACGGCAATTAGATTTTTTCAAACCACTATAGGAGTTAGTAATTAGCTAAATCATTTGCTTTTTTCCTATTTAATTAAAAAAATAAAAATATTTAGAATATATTTCTTTTTCAAAATATGTATTAATTTTTTAGAAAAAAAAGTTTTTCGGATTTTTGCAATTGCTTGCGAATTTCTGCTTTTTCATTGTACACGGCAGATTTTTTTTATTTTAAGCTTAAAAAACAAATGTTGCATACATTTAGGGACACAGCTCCTGTATTTGTCCTTATAAAATATTGTTTTGTATGTTTATTCCTATTTATAATTTTTAGTTAATTTTTTAATTATTAAATTATGTATGCATATGTCTTCATTTAAAATTCCAGTAATAAAATCTAACTTTTTGTTGATTTTTAATAATAATATGAAAAAAAGGCTTTTATTATATTATTTTTGAAATTTTTACTATTGAATTTTTTTTAATACCAGTACATTTTGGTTATTTCAAATAAAATATTACAATATTTAGCCAATTTTTTAGTTATTAAAAAACAACAAAAAAAAAACTATTTATTATTTTTTAGGCAAATATGAAAGAATTTTGGAAATATTTATTTTTTTGAAATGCAAATTTCTAAATTTCTTTTAAATATATTTTATTTTTTAATAAGACTGCCATTAATAATATTTTTGAAATTTTGTATACATATGCAAATGTTATTTTAAATAAAAAATTAAAACTTATAATAGTTATTTTTTTAATTATTAAATTTCCAAAAAAACAAAACAAAGTTTTTGGAAAATACTTTTCTTTCTTGCTAATAAAGCGCACTAAAACCTTCAACTTATGAAAAGAAATAATTAAACTTTTTAATATTTCTTTTATTATTTTATTTTTGTAAGCATATAGTATACTAATATTAGGATTATTTTAAATATTATATGCAAATTTATAATTTTTTTGATCATAACACTTCCATAATAAAAACGTTTATTAATATTTAAACCAATTTTATTTTTAAAAGTTTCCAGAAATATTCAACATTTTAATAAAATAATTAAACTTTTTATTAATTTTTCTAGTTAATTTCTTTTTTATTTATTTTTCAGGATTTTTCAACTTATATTTTGAACATTTAAGAAATATTTTCTTTATAAATAAAGCTTCTTTTAAATATCTCTTCAAAAAATGTTTTGTATATTCGAAAATATATGCCGCAGGGTCATCTGATTGCTATCCTTCTCAGCACACTACGTTCACAAAAGAAATAAGGATTAAAAAGTATGATGAAATCATACTCACCATCGAAGTCAGCAAACAGGTATCCTTAATAGTCCAATAAAGGCTGGCTTTCCTTTCTTATTTACTACAAAAACTCTTCAGAGCATAAATGAGAGCATAACTTATTGCACCTACTCTCTTTCCGCTTTAAGGTTATGGACACACGCACGTGGTTGCCGATGATGAAATTTCGAAGATGAATTGCAATATTTTAAAATTAAAACTTCAACAAATAAAAAAAAATTCAAATTGAAGCACTTACGTAGATAAAAAAGAAACGTGAACACGAAATGTCAACAAATAGTAGTTTATGTGCATATATACATATGTATGTATGTACATACATTTTGTATGGAAAGTATTGGAAGTGTTTATTATGAGGTATCATATTATATTTAGACTCTAAACATTTGAAAGTAATATGTACATACATACTTACATACAAATATACATGAGATATATACATATACATATATAAGCACATATGTATGTATGTAAATATTTGCTGTTAATGACCCATAAGAATGGATAGATATTATGAATCAGTATAAATCACTTTGTACATACATACATACATACATACATAAACATATGTACAAATGCACATATGCATTGAGCGTTAAGTGACCACACAGCGTTGCTACTCTTCATTTTACGCTCTCTTCTTCTCATTGTTTTTTACTCGTGTCTCTTATTTATTTCACAACGCTGTATTAATAAACTCCTTGTTAGATTTTTATTGCGAATGGTCATGATGACTTGCAGTTTAAGGTATTTAATTAGGTATTTCACCAGAAATATTTTGTATATTATATACCAATGTCAATATGACATATGAATAATTAAAAGAATTATTGATTCAAATTTTCCCATGGTCTTTTGGTTTCCATCATCCCCTCTTTCTCTTTGAACTTCAAAGTAAGAGAAATGTGTAAATGCAAGCAAAATGTATGATGTATGGATTAGTGACAAAAGCATGTCAATACATACATACTTGTATACGTATGTATTTGAAAAAATTGAAATTGCTCGCACCTGAGTGTACTGGTTCTAAATTTTTCAAAGATGAAGCATTCTTATTCATCCGAAACGTAGCCGCTGGCTACTGATTCGCTATAGCTCATCGTTCCATTGGCATTGGTATTTATCATTTACAACGGTCCAAGGGCCATAAATCTCACTCTAAGCCTTTCTCACTAAAATCCAAACACAACGTCGGAGAGAACGTTCCTTTGCCTATTAGTCCAAAGGAACAGGACACCTCTAGATAAGCTAGATAAATGCCTTTAAATATTGGCTAAGGAATATACCAATAAAATATTGTGTGGCAGTAGATTGTGGACAAATCAACCTGTTACGTGTATTAAACACTATTCTGGTAGTGTATTTTCGGGCCCTCTACCACTGAGACATTCTCTTTACGAGCTTAGTAAAGTGAGCTCGGCTGAATTCTTATCAACTGGGAATAACCAGCCCTAAGTTTAGAGGCGACATTCTGCTACTGTGGCCGCCATCTCAGATCTCGAAAATATCACATTATGATTTTGTTATCACTTCGCACCAAACACATTTTTTGAAATACCATGTCATGACTTTCAGATCGCATCGCAACACTAAAATCATCGCACATCAAGTCCCCTAACATATGTATACGTATAATAAATATTTTCTGAAATATCATATCATGAGTTTTAGATCACGTCACACCACCATATAATATTTCTTATAGATCACATCATGACTTTTAAGTCTCGTCACACCACTATATAATATTTATTGAAATATCACATCATGGCATGAACACCTCACTTCACATATACAATTAATATAAAATAATATTTTCTGAAATATCACGTCATGACTTTCACATCACGTCCCTTAACATATGTTTATGTATAGTAAATATTTTCGGAAATATCACATCATGACTTTCAGATCACGTACACCACTATATAATATTTTCTGAAATATCACGTCATGACTTTAAGATTACGTCACATCGCCATATAATATTTTCTGAAATATCACATCATGATCTTCAGATCATCTCACACTTAAATTTTCGGGAATATCACATGGTGGCATAAACACGTCACTTTACATATACAATTAATATCTAATAATATTTTCTGATATATAACATCATGACTTTAAGATCACGTATAACATTTTCTGAAATATCACATCATGACTTTCAGATCACGGCACACCAATATACACTTAATATTTCTGAAATATCACATCATGACTTTCAGATCACGTCACACCACCATATACAATTTTTTTATACATCCCATCATGACTTAGAAAACACATCACATCAATCTGTGATATCGCTATGTGATCAACCTTCGTATCACAACTATCGAAGAACTCTCCAATAACCATCTTTTTTTTGTAAGTCAACATCACCTCGACACATCTCCCCGACTTTAAGAAAAAAACATAATAAAAGAAAAAACATAATAAAATTTCATGGTCTTTTAGTATTTATTATTTTTTAATTAAAAGCAAAAGTAGTTGATTTTGTAAAAAAAGACTGTTTACGTATTTAAATTATTACATGTTTATTTTAATCATTTTAAACGTAAATAATTTTTCTGTTAATCTATTTAAAACCTTTCTTTGTGATCTTAAAGGTCCAAGCGAATTTCAGCCCATTTTTATCAATATGATTTTTTGGGGGTAAGACAATATGTAATCTGTTGCCGTTGAGAGACCACTATAGGAGGAAAATATATATATATATTACTGAGAATATTGAAAAATTAAGTGTGACGTGAAATGTACTCACATCAAGTTGTGCACTCTCCATGCCCACAAGACTAACCGACATATCGGCCACACTCACATCGGTAGTAATTTCATCCTCATAGCCAAAGAGGATTACGTTGGACTTGGTGTCTTTCGACAAATTGCCAATCGGATACAAATCGATTTCATTCGTATCGTAAGGATATTCCAAAACGATAGCGTATATGATAGCGGATGAATTAGTTGGATCTAACTTTTGTGTATACCACACATTGGGTGTGACGCTGTCATTTTGATAAATCCATGGCTTGGAGCCATATATAGCTTCACCGTTAACGCTCAACCATTTGCCCATATCACGCAGGCGCTCCTCGAAGATGGGCAATATGGTGCCATACTTCGTCGGACCCACATTAATGAGCGCATTACCGTTACAACTAACGGTTTTAACAACTTCTATAAGGAAAAATTGTAGAGAAATTATGAAATATTAAATTTTTATAACAATACCTACCGCCAATCAATTCTTCTGAGGTCATAAAATCATTCAACTCTACATCGAAACGCTGTCCCCAACTACTTTTGTCCAGCGTAAAAGCATTCTCCCATTTATGCGGCTGTAAAATACCGGGATTATAACGATCTTGACAATTATAAAAATCGCCGTGATGACAAGCGGTGCCAAAACCCCAGCGATCGTTCGTCACTATGGTATCGCGCACGGGACTGTCATTGTATAGCCTGTGAATTGAGGTTATAATGAGTTGGTGGTGAGTGTTACGCTTTTATATTTACCAAGCTATAAATTCCTCCGCCTTCCAGTACTTTGCAGGCGCCTCCCAATCACCATCGGACCACAGAATTTCCGGTAAATACTCATTTATCAATTCCATTTGCTCGGGTCGCATTTTCCGTTCAACATAATTTTGTTGTAAAAATAAATGCAATTTATCATTTATATACAAACGATTGAACCACTCGAAGAGTGAGTAGTAAAGTCCGAATTTGAGTGAACTCTCTTGACGTATGGCAGTTGAAAGCTCACCTAAAGTTTTGCAAAGCTCATTAAAAGCTGTGAATTTGTGAGAAAAAAATCATGAAAGCTTACGAATAATATCTCTTTTCGGTCCCACATCCATGGAATTCCAACTGAAAGATGACGTTGATGGCCAAAGTGTATAGCCATCATGGTGCTTGCTGGTTAAAACCACATATCTGGTGTAGAAATGAAGAATAGCGTTTTTATTATATACATACTTTTTAATAAATATTTACTCACTTTGCGCCACTGTCGCGAAAGAGTAGCGCCCACTTTGTGGCATTAAATAACTCAGCGGTGAATTCATGTGCGAATTCTTGATAAGCGAAGCTTGGCTTGTAGTTGTTTTTCATAAAACTCAAATAATTGGGATATCGTAAATCTGAAAGAAGTGAGAAAATTTACCTAACACATGCATCTCGTTCACTTCATCAACACTCACTTAACCAATCCTCCCAAAACCATTCCGAGCCAAAACTCGGCACTGAGTACACGCCCCAATGTATAAAGATGCCAATTTTCGCTTCATCATACCAGCTGGGCAATGGTCGTTCATCCAGGCTCGCCCAATTCGGTTCATAACGCTCCAAAGCTGCTTTACTCGGGCAGATCAGACAAATGAAAGCGGCGCTGAGAAGCAGCCAACGTAACATTGTTTACCAACGCCGACAACACAATGTATGAATGGAAAACAAAAATAAACTGTCTCAATTGTATACGATTACAACTGCATGTGCAGATAAGCGTCGGCTATTAAAACCGACGGGCGAGCGTGTGGAAATAAACAACGTAAAGCGAGAATAACAACTAGACTTGCTCGTTGAAAGAACAACTTGGCACTGTGGAAGCGATAGCAGCCTTTCGAAAGTAGCGATCTAATTATGACTAGCTTGAGAAGTACACTGAGGGAAATTTGTGGGAGTAGAAATTTTATTTAAAGAACTCGATGAGGAAGAGAAATGTTGAGCGAGCATAGACTTTATATGAAGACCAGTGTAATGCCTGTAACACACATCGGGAGATACGCCTAGCCAGAAGGGGGTCTAAATAATTTACAGAACACCCCAAAAGCAGTTCTACTTATGTATACGGATGGGCTATCTGCTAACAGTTCGGTATTCAGAGATTCCTTAAAACTTAAGGCTTCTCTGTAAGGTCGTCAACAACACAAGAATTCATCTGCTAAAACAAGTGCTCCTTATATTAACCAAAGCTTCTCCATTTGAAAAATTCCTTAACGGAACCGAACCCTTTTAATAGCGACTCGCACTCTGCACTCTGCATAGAGACAGCGCTATGAACTACCTACTACAAAACTCCTACTACTACCCCCCTGCGGGTTAGGGATACAAGAACTTACCCGCGGTAAGGTATGCCTGTCGTAAGAGGCGACTAAAATCCAATAGTACCCGCGACAGTCGGGTCTTTATGCCGAAACGAATTCTTTGTCGAAACCCTCCGGACATAGTTCAATAAATAAAAGAAAATTATATAGAATAGAATTGATCTAGGAAAGAAAGTTACAGTCTACACTAAAAGATAAAGCGCGCTGACGGAACTTAGAATAATCAAACGAATGGAAAAAAAGTTAATGAGGGGATGGGTGATGACTGCATATAATATTATGTCAGCAAATACTCTTACAATTAGGTCCAGGTACCATACCCCAGTGGCATTTTTGGTAACAAAAAAGTAAGCTGAAGCAGAAAAAAACAAAAGCGGAAGAAGGACTCTGTACAAAGATTTTAACGAAAGTGCTGGCAGATTGACAACTAGAATAGATTGCATGGCTTAAGGCTTGAAAAACAACCATGATCCTGTATAAGTGCAGCCAAGGGGAACAGCTAAGAACTGCAGGACGGTTGTAGGTGTTATGAGAGCCCATGTCTTTATATGTCGGATGTTTATGCTGGATCGACCCGGATTTTTATCCGGCCAAGGATTGTCACCCCCGCAAGCATTCCCCAAAAACTACTTTGGATAATATTCTCGCGGTTACAACAACATAAAAACAGGAAATGCAGATATGCAGTTATGACTGATTATCAAGAACACCTTCTCTTCGTCTGTAGAGGGATTATAAAGAACACGGTTCATCAGAGACATCAGTGCGCTATTAAAATTCGCAAAAAGAGTTAAAATTTTATGTTTAGTCAACTAAACTTCGGATTGATTAGTGGTTTGGTCTAACACTGCAAAGGACCAGCCCGTTGAACATAACCCCAAAAAAGTAATGGATTTAAAAGCGCATATCTAATGATGAAACCATCAAATGAGCTGTCCCTATGAAAAGAGGCCATAAAGTCAGTTTTTATATTAATGTTTCGACTGTAGTTACTTTTTTGTAACAAATAAGCTCCTTCGACGAAATATACAACTTATTTTTTATCAGACTTTCGTGTATTTATTTTACGAGCAAGCAAAGTTAGCCATCGAAGTCATCTAATGGGAGGTCTAGGATTGAGCTGTGTCGACGAGTTCGAACCAGTGGGCGGCCGGTTGTTAAATGAGTTGGTTTTAGTGACCATTGAAAGACGTGATTAATGTTATACGAGGACTTATTGCATGCAGGGCATACATTGGGTGCATCGGTGTGATGAATGAGTCAACTACAGTATTTCAACCTTTATTGTACCAGTAGAACTTGGCTCTCCCGAGATAGCTCGGATTCTTCCTCTGCTATCGGTGTTGGTGGGACACCGAGCACGCCATTCACGGAAAGAGAGCTTAGAAAGGCCTGGACGGACTCTCTTTTAACGACGTTTAGGGCCCGACGGCTTGTTGTTCTGTCCAGCGATTCTGTCTGTTCTGTGGTGCTGATTGGAGTTCTTCAAGTCGAGTACTCTTTTTCTGATGTGCTTGGGTAGCATGTTGGTTTCCATTGGATAATGCCTAGTGTATACAGCGTAACATTATCTTCCCTAACAGAGTGCATAAATGTTTCATTGTGTAAGTGGTGCAGAGGAGACATCAGTATGTTGCCCGTTACAAGCCAGCTTCTTTATCTACAAATATTTTTTAGATACAACAACAGCAACAAAAAAGGAATTATTTCAATATTTTTAGGTTCTTAATAAAATGGAAATTTTATTGTATTTCTTTGACAAAGTGATGAATCCTTACAAATCAACAAGTTTGACACCTGTGAACAAATATGACTTGATATAGTACATAAATAGCTACATAATTAAATGTAATTATAATAATATGCAAATACATATAAGTAGCATTAAAGCATAAGAATAGTTTTTAACATAAATTTATAAATTCTACATTTTAATTATTATTTAAAATAGCTTTATTAATAAACTGTTAAATAAGTATGTATATATTTATATATGTAAATATCTGTATATGCAAATAAGTAAATATTTTATTTATTAAAGAAAATGCAATATAACTTAATTACAATCAATCAGTCAACAAGATAACATAATTGGAAAAGCTATGTGTATATGTATGCATGTAAGTGCGGAAATTCTTTAAGAATTTCTAACGTGTTTGTGTGTATTTAAAAAAAAAAAAAAATTAAGATTTAATGCAGATAAATATTTCAGCTTTGCTTCTATTGAATTTTTAATTATTTCACTTGTACATATAGCTATATGTAGGTATGAATGTAATCTATGGCATTTAGTCTATTGCTTAGGATTTTTGTGTGAGTGTAGTTGCGTAGTTGTTTTTTCAGTTGTAGTAGTAGTTTCTGCTGTTTATGTGGAACTGTTTGATGATTATTATTAATTCTATTGTAATATCTTAGTTGAGATTTGCTTTGCCTATTGTGTTTAATCGCTTAGTTCAGTTAACGCATCGGGTGTGAATTGATTATTACGTTTTTTTTTTGTTTGTATATGAGAATGTGCTTTACTTAAATTATTTATATTCATAATAATGACAACTAAATCTATACTTGAATTTTCTGGCAGTGGTTATATACTCGAAAAATTTTTTTTGAAAGCATTTTATGTACATATTCTCCCATTTAAGAAAGCAATTCATTTTTCACTTGCTGCTTACATGTCGTATTCCATATTAATGTTGTTTAATATGTTTTTTGTTAGCTTAATATTTAGAATGTTCTTTGGTTGCACGCGACGCGAAGTTATCAGGTAAACATTTCAACCGCCAAGCGTGTGTACAATATGTATTTTTCATTATTGTGATATTTTGCCATTAATTTGATTTCGTTAAAGAATTTTCTATTTTTGGTGTTGCTTTTATAAAATTCCACTCCCTGCTTTTTCTTATTTGATTGAATTTATTTGAAGCTCGTTACATTTCGGACGGCTTCAAATAAATGAACCGTCAGTGTTCCGTTGGCGTAGTGCGAAATTCCGAAATCCAGTCGGTTACACGTAGACGAAAGATTTCCGTGTTAGTCAAAATCCAATCACGGTATTGTTGTGGTATAAATTCCACCAATTTATCGGCAATTTCTGGATTTTTAAACATTATCATATATATGACTAAAACGTTAATGGCCAGAAGTAGAAAGAAAGTGAAAACAGTAGTAAGTGCTGTGCTAGATTTGGACATGGACTTTTTCGCTGAAGTATTTGCATTCTTTTTCGATTTTGTTACTTTATTATTTGCATTTGTTTGTGCGAGTTTCATTTCACTGTTTATATCATTGCTATTATTGTTATTATTGGTGTTTGATTTTTTTGCTTTAGATTTAGCTTTCTTAGCGGCCGATTTTTTCGATTTTGCATTTTCCGGTGGTTTCTCCTCGGCAGCTATGTCTTCCGTGCGTATGTTATGCTCAGTTAAAGCCTCTAGTTGATATTGTTCTTTAACCTTTTCCACTTCAACACGTATACGACGCAAGAATTTCACCTGTAGAATGAAAATTTTTAAAATGTATTTTATTTATTATATATCAATAAACTGAATACTTACTGTATTTTTGGCAGAATCCTGACACTCTTTTTGTGTTAGACAGAAGCCAACAACATTTGCTAGTGCCGGTGTCAGTGGATTGCCTTTCAAATCCAAATAACGTAGACTTGCCAAATCAGCAAAACTCATCGGCAGATGCTCCAATTTATTGTCATATAAATCCAAATGGCGCAAATTACGCAGTAAGCCAAAATCGTCTGGTAAAAACCGAATTTGGTTTTTACTCAGATCAAGCTTGACCAGACGTGTTAATGTAACAAAATTTTTCTAAAAATATAAATGGGCGACTTTAAAAATTGCTCAGGCACATATTCTCTACTTATAAAATACATTAAAAAAAATTATACATTTTGTACTGAAGAAAACAAGCTTTCATAGCGATTTCGCAATTCATTTAAATATTGAAGAGAAAATTTCAAAAATTTGTGTTTCCAATTATTCATATACTAGGTTAGAAAAGCTTTTAAAACTATAAAAATTGTAAACATCAACCTACACTCAATAATGAAATACAATTACTCGATAAGTCCAGCACAGTAACCCGCTTAAACGAAGCCTGAAAAAAAGAGAAAAAGTGAAAAAGTTTACACTTTATTGAATACAAAAGAGTTCTCACATACAATTTGCAAGTTGTATAAAAATGTGGCACAAAGGATGCAAAAAACACAAACAACCTTCTATGCCAATAACAGAACACTTTCAAAATACCCCTAAGGTTGAATGGAAAGCGTAGCGCCGAAGCAAGGGTGAGTCTATCGACTCACTGGATATACACCTTACTTAACTATATGAGTACGTATAATTGTGTATAGGTGGAAGTGGGGTACAATATGAAAGTGAAATTTTCAGTATATCATAGATTTTTCTGCAGTAGCTGAATATTTATTAAATTAACTAACTTACTAATTAAAAATATATATGTACTTACTATTTCGCGCACGGGAACTTCATTTATTCCACTCAAACTTAAATCACAAACATTATCCTCGACCCTTTCCTTAACATTTACTTTCACTTTTTCAGCTTTCGGCATATTGTTCTAAACTCTTTTAAGATTTTTAAAAGCAATTGTCATCAAATTCAAATGCACCTTTTCACAATTTCAATGGATTTCAATCAATTTTGACAATTTTGTGAAAATTTTGTTCAACAATTCCAAAATATTGACGTGGTATTCCTGCAACCACAAATTGTAAGGTTTAAGGTCAAGGATTTGGTATTGTTTATGGCAGAACAAACCGGCAGAGTTAATTGTAGTGTTGCCTGAGTAAAAAAATATATTAATAATTGTCATTATTAAGCATTTAACAGATACATGCGCTTTATAACCGTTGAAGCGATTTTCCGAAAAGCTCCACCTCCAATTTGTGATTTTGCGTCTTGATGCTTTTCCAACAAAATTGAGGGACCTAGAGTTTATACTAAGACGCCTCCGAACGGCTGAAGGTTTTTTATGAGGAGTCTTTTAATTTCATGTCAGAAATACAATCGGAAGGGCTAACATTCTCTGTCGAGTGCTGACCGCAATTAGGCAATTTTTTTATTTTAATTGATTTTCTGTAACATGTGGATGTTGGTTATACGCAAAGCTAATACCTCTGCTACGGCGGCCGCTAAACAAAAAGACAAAGACAAACAAATTAGGAGTTAGTTACTTCTCTGCTTAATGCAAAAAAAAACACATTAAATATAAAAACACAAAATTCAAATCTAAACTTAAAACTAAATCAGCTCCGCTTACAAACCAATTACAGTTATGCTTAACGTTAAATCGCCTCATTCAAAGTTAACGCAGCGATTAATTGTGGATATGGCAGCACTAATTAGCGAATTATACAAATAATCAGGGCGAATACTGGTTTGGGAATTCGCTTTGCTAATAACATTTCAATGTTTACTTTTGTCTTCACTTTTGAAAATTTGATTTTAAGTGCATAAGTTGTAGAATATTTTTTTAAAACTATTTTTTAATAGCAAAATATGTTTATGTTTTTCAATGCACCATATGAAGAATATGAGGAAGAGTTACGTGTTAAGCGCAGGCGACTACGGGACGCAAACACTCCAATCGACTTACCAGAAGAGGAGTGAGTACTAAAGATTATTTTGTGCATTTATTTGGTTTTATTAAGTCTAAATAAAAAAAAAACACTGTTAGTAAAAAGTATGTAATGAATATAAACTTATTTATGCAGGTTCATGAAGGAGTATCGCGTAAGTAAAAAAGTTTTCATGACAATTTTTAATGAAGTTACACCAAAAATAAAGAGAAAGCATCGAACTACCGCCATACCAGAAATAACCAGGTTAGCTTGTTTCTTGAGTGCACTAGCTGGTAATTATCAATCAAGAGTTGGAAACAATTCAAATACTGCTGTGTCTCAAGCAATGGCATCGAAAATTGTTGGCGATTATTTAGAAATATTTGAAGATCACTTTTGCGACAAATGGATAAGTTTGGAAATGACAGAGCAGGAAGAAAAGAAAGTTAAACTAAAATTTTACAATGAAACTGAAGTGCCCAGCATTATTGGATGCGTGGATTGTACACACATTGCAATACAGTGTCCAAGACTGGATACAAGCCATTTATATCGAAATGACACTGGAGGCTTTAGCATAAACGCGTTAATTGTAAGTAGATAATTTGTTGAAAACCCACAACACATTTTATGCACTAGTTGCTCTTATACAACAGATTTGTGATGTAGACTTAATGGTAAGATATATTGATGCAAGGAATCCAGGCGAAAATGATGACGATTTCGTTTGGCAAAAGAGCGATCCTAATTTATATTTTAAGTCCAAATATGACGCAGGTAAAAGAAACTTTTGGCTCATAGGTAAAAAAAATTGTAAACATCAGATATATAACCAATATAAACAAAATTTGAATTGTGTTTGCAGGTGATACTGACTTTAAGCTGCAACCATATTTGATGACACCTTATCGGGAGCCCGTTGAAAGTTATGAAGTTAATTACAACGAAAAATGTTTAAAAGCCCAAAGTATTATGGAAAAATGTTTAAATGCTATTGAAAGCAGATTTCCAGTACTAACACATCCCAAAGGCATGCATTACCTGCCAGAGAAAGCAACGAAAATAATTAATGTTTGCTGTGCTATTCATAATGCTTGTGTATTTTATAAAGATGATTTACCAAAAAGTGACAAAACATTTCTAAATGTAGATAAACAGAAACAGCGTGATATAGATGACTCCGAATCGTATGATAGTGACGTCTCAGAGTTTAATAACGAAATGGGTGTCCCAAATGAGGTTTTAAGAATAAGAGAAAAATTGGCAAAAAGCTTACGAGATGAAAAGTGTGTATAAAGTAGTCGGTTGTTCTTATGTGTAGTAAAAAAAATTACTTTAATTTATTTTAATATATAGGTGCATATGTATATATTTATTACTCTTAAAGATAACATTTAAGTTATTCCTCGAAAACATAAGTGCTGTTGCATTAACTTTTGTTGAATTAAAAATAAAAAAACAAATTGTATATCTCATATTTCCGCCATTTTTTCTAAGGCATTAGCCTGCCGTACCATCGCTATAGTTTGTTTCTCTATTAATTCCAATTGTCGCTCCATCAGCATTTCTTGTTTCTCTGCCGATGCTGATAACCTTTCCAGACAAAGGCTTTGTTTATCTAATACCTCAACCATACTTTTAGCTATTTTCATATATTTAATTTGATGTAGTAATTGTCGACGAAGTAAATGATCACTCGGTTGTTGATCAGCTTTTCTTTTATGAGATACGGATGGAATTTCAGCTGCAGGCGATGCTGCTCGTGTACTTGAACTCGGGGAACTGTCGTCAAGTGGTGGCGGTGTTAGAGGTAGCGTTCTAACCGTAACTGTTGGAAAGGCCTTAACTAAAGGTACACCAAATGTTTCACCTTTTGGTTTTACTGTTTCAACAACATTCAGAACTTTTCCCAAAGCTCTTTCTGATTCTGATAAAATATTCACTTCATATCCGGCGGAAATATTTTCTGCGATTTTTTTCTTTGTACGCAATTTTAAGTCACATAAAACCTATACGAATATGCATATGTAGATGTATATAATTATTGCTTCTTATTTATTGCACAGTAAAGAGCATAAATTTATATACCTTCTTCCACTCTTGTGGAGAACGTTCCGGCGGTCCGATATCGTTCAATTTTTTTGTTATCTCTTTCCATTTTTCATTCTTTAAAACTCGAGCACTACCAAAGCATGGCAATCGTCTCGCTAAATCAGGAAATTTTTGAATTGCACGCGCCATTAGTTGAAATTGCTCAGTGGTCGTCGTCTTAGGCCTAGAAATAGTATTTCAATTTATTCCAAACTATTAGTAAACAATTTTTCGTACTTACGTCCTTGCCTCCATTTCGAAAATTTTTATACTACGCTTTATTTGTTAAGAAAAAATTAGAAGTGAACGAGTTGTGTGATTCGACTATAACCAGCATAATCGTTTTACATGATAGAGATGAACTAGTGTTGCCAGATTGTTAAAAACGAATATCGTTTGAAAACAGTTCGTGAAACCGTCGCAACGGAATGCCCAATACTCCGCACGTTTTGGCAAAGAGCGTATATTAACATGAGATCTTTCCGAACTAAATATTATGCTCAAAATTTGGTCAGAATAAAAATGATTCACATTTAAAATAAATCGACTTTAGTTCTTACAAAGAACATATACGTTCTTCGGCAATTTTTTTACTGATGTTGCTAATACAATACATGCTAATCACAAAATTTATGAACAAAAATCAATAAAACCAGTGCTTTTAAAATCAGCCAATGTAAAGATGTGCCAGAATTGTTACCTACTAAGTAACTAGCTGAGCTAAAGTTCCTTCGTTTTGCTGAGCAAAAATATTTCAAAAATTTCAGACCTAGCTTTAAGTTACAACACATAGTTTGGTTTTCAAAATAAGAAAAACATTATTTATTAAATGTGGTCATACACATGGTTTGTGTAATTTAATAAAAAAAACTGTTTAATCTTCCTCCTCTTCAACAGCACCACCGCTGCCACCTTGGTTCTTCTTCATGTTCTTCCTCTTCACGCGACCTGGGCGGCCACCACCGAAGGGCGATTTCAATGAGAAGTCAATGTGTTTCTGCGAGTCCAAACGCACTACAAATGATGGGATGTTTACAACTTGTCTGCGGACGCTGTTAATATAGAAAAAAAGTGGAAGAATTGTTAATGAAAATAATTTGGCGAGCAAACTAAAACCTGGAAAACAAAATCGTTCAGTTGTGTAACTTACTCATTCACTGTTTGCTAATTTCTTATTTTAAAGCAAACAAATTTAAAAAGACGTTGAGAGCCGGTACAGACTTGGCTGTTCGACTCTCAAGTGGTCTTACTGAACAAATTTTTCTTATAAATTCTCAAGTGTCCCAATGACCAAGATTGTTGTTGCAGATAATTACCGAATATGTCTCTGACGAATAAGGACGCGAGCATGATGGATGGACTTGGCCAACCCCAATTTGAAGACTTGAGTTTGCAAGCGACGCTCCAAGAAATCCTCTATTTTCAAACCCAAAACGTAATCGAGCTTCATGCGGGATTCATCCAATACACCAATACGTACCAAACGACGCAACAGAGCGTTACCTAAATAAATAAAAGAAAACCAAATTAGAAATTTTCTTAGTATAGCATTAAGTTTTTTGATTTTTTCATCAGTTGGAATAGTATTATCGTCAAAAATGATTTCAGACAAGAAGTGTCAGATATTAAATAAATCATCAGAAAAGTTAATACAGCATATCTTTTTATAATTCAAATTACCTTGGAACAATCTCTTCTCATCCTTCTCATCGAGAGTCAACAACTCACGGGCTGCCTTACGGATTTTAGCCAAAGCGTACTTGACACGCCACACCTCACGCTTGTTACGTAGACCATATTCGCCAATGATTTTCAACTCTTGGTCCAAACGTGCCTTTTCATAAGGGCGACGTGGTGTCACATAAGTCTTCGAGAAGACAGACGGTATGCGTCCGTTAACCATTTTTCCACTTATTTAACCGAGTGCTAAAATAATAAAATAAGGAACCCACATTAATAACTATATCTTTAAAAATTGTCAACATCTTTGCATTTGAGTAAAAACTTATAAAACCAGAATAATGCTGAATATTTCATTTCACTGATTAATAAATATTTCATGCAAAAGATATATAAAAACAAATATTTTTACAAATTAAATGCTTGCAAAGATTTTCACGTACATTCGGCTTGACGATTGAAAAATGAAAGAACGAAAAGAACGAGAAGAGCGATTAAAGTGAAGTTGTCAATTAGCTGTCAATATGACAGTTCAAGAGAAGTGGCAGAGAACTTATAACATATTGTTGCGAAAATGCGAGGCGAATGTCAGATGAAAGAGAGAAGCCGATAACTTGTACGTTCTAGAAACGATAAAACAAGAACCTTCCATAGCGAACAATTCGATGCTTCTACGCTTTCGTCTGCGAGCAGCCGACTGCTATATAAAGGCGGCACTCAGCTGCAAGTCAAGTTAGTGATAAAGTAAACTCGTTGGCGTTAACATCAGTAAAGTCGTAAAGTAAACACGTTGGAAAGTACATTTAAGTAGAGTGAATTGTGCAAGTTGATGATAGTGATTGTAAATAGTAGAGTGTATTGTAATTGTATTGTGAATTACGGAGTAAATAAAAGACATTAGATAGAATCTTTATAACGAAAGAAATTGCAAATTAAGTTGGCGAGTTTTATTTAACAATCCAGAGATCGTACCCGAAGGATTCGGAAAATAATCGAGGTTGATTTAGTAAAATCGTAACAATATTATAAGTTCTCTGGAAGTGGAATGTACAAGATGTAATGTAGTAGTAGAACAAACGGTACTAGAACAGGGTAATTCCTGTTTCTAGTTTTAAACAGTTAAAGTTGGGTTTCACCGAACAGACAATCAAGTTTATGACTCTAAAGTTTGATATTTAGAAAAGCAAGAATGAAATCTGCTGCAGTATCCAGACCTCAGTTGCTCCACGGTTAAAATAATAGAGTAAACACTGCGAGCGCTTTCTTCATTCTTCTGAGTTGGGAAATATTACGTTGTCCACTTATACAACCCGGCGGTAATGAAGAATGGTCATATCCTATTTAACCAAACCACTGGCAGGGACATCTAAATCAAATCTCCCGGTGAACCCTCTCCGTAAGAACCGATTAGAAATATATACTACAGTTGTCCCGCTGTGACACGACCTGACCTAAAGCAGGTCGTTCAAGTTGTATTTGCGAGGTATCTAGCTAGTACTTTATTTTTGGGTGTTCGTTGCTAATCGATGAGACACATCCAAAGGTGAAGTTTTAACATGAATCAATGTGGTGTCTGGAGAATGAGCTTGCCGAAACCTGAGGCCCTTCGTAACCAGATAGACTTACCCTTACCCTACACTTATAAGTTCACAAATGAGTATAATTTTATGAAGTAATAAAAACTAGAGCAGCTCTGTTCCCCTTCAAAAAATCTAGAAAAACTAAGTTGTTTCGAAAGAGGGCAGCGTTTTCAAGGAGCTCTAATACGGTCAGCGAAAACACAGAAGTTAAACTTAACCCGAGTGAAAAAGCTAGCACTGGGGCTGTAGTCAAGGCTAGCTGTAAAAACGAAACAACATCCGCAGCAGCCGGAGCCAAGCCTATTAACCAGAGCTTATCCACAAAGGAAAGTAAAAGGAGATGCTAAAGGTGGAGTTGCTTGCAGTATAAGCTTTGTAGGTATGCGAAGAAGCGTCAAGGTACAAATGCTATCTGCAACCAACTAGGAGTGCTCATACATGCGGAAGCAGTTCTGCCCAACTTCAAGCTTGAACCGCCAGCAGTTGCCACAAATAGGCAAAGGTCGACTGAAGAGCTAAGCCGTCAGCCAAGAGTCCGAAAACGAAAAGGGTGAAATCCGTAAAATCTTTTTCTTATGGGAACTGAAAACACATTATTATTCGCGATCAGGATGAGGGCGATACCGAAGCAAATATTTCCCAAAGCTCAATGGAATTCGGTACAAGACGCGATGACAAACGTGGCGCTGGAAGTGCAATAAAGCAATCAAGGTGCGACACCGTCTTGCACAGGCAGCAGGTGTGAAGACGAGCCTCTATCGGTAAAGTTGGCGACGTACATATACATGATTAGTCGTTTCACCGTCACCATTTATGCGACCAGCGTGAAATGATTTGTGTGAGGTACTTTTTTGGGCCACTTGGCTACTCTGGTCCGTCATTTGTTGTTATCATCCACGCTCAAAGGCAAACCAGCTGGTGACTATCATAACGGTTTTATCTATTCTTGCCCCCAACATAAAGGCATATGTGCATGGCAACCCTATCAACGGAAGCAAAATTCAAAACAGAGAAATACACAACGGTTGTAGCGGGAAGCACGTTGTTTTCTAGCGATCTGATTGGACAGCTTGAAAGCGTCGCGAGAGAAAAACAACTATCTCTCAGATACTTTTGGATTTAGCAGCAAAACAGAGTGATACCGAGCCAAGAACATTGCAAGCTATAGTAAATTTGTTCCGAAAACTTGTTTTGTCGTACATTTTATACAAGTGCTTTGTCACTACACAGAGACAAGAGTCACCCAGTGCACGGGAGCAGCAACAGTAAAGTAAAAACAAAAATATTCACATAAGTGCGCACAGTGGGTGAGCGAGCGACTGGGAAGAGGGGGTGGGGAAATGTTTGGCAACCAACGACTGGCAATGCGAACGAATGGAAAACGAATGGCCAAAAGCAACTGCCGGTTGCATGGGGCATACACAGATAGCATACGGCGGCAAGAAGCCACCGACCAAAGCTATGTAGAGACAACAAAAACTGTTAGTCGTAGCGGCAGCGGCAGCGGCAGCACCAACGCCAGCAGTAGCGACAGCGTCGATTATCGTTGAGTGCTACTAAGAAGTCAGTTGTTGTTCGGTGGCCATACCAGCTGGAACTCTTCGTCTGTGTGAAAGTTTTAACGCTCGGTCATTTGTGTTTTTGAAAACGAATTTATCTAAATAATTACGAAATAAAGCGGCGGTGTTCTGCATTAAAAGCATTCCGATTAAATATCTACATATATACATACACATCTATATATATATATAACGAACAGACGATTGTGTCTCGCAGTGTGCTTTTGTTTACCCAACAAAAGAAAGAAAAAATAAAATCGAAAACGAATGTAAAATTTTGATTTTTCTACATTTACCGCTTGTTGCTAGCGGATTTAGCGGTGTAAAACCAAAGAGGTAACTCTGCTACGCGCGTGAGTGTCATCTGCCGTGCCGACGTATAGAGATTCTATTAAGAAGGTGCCGTACTAGGTGTGTGCTAATAATATTTATACATTATGTATGTGTGTGTGTTTTAGTACATTTGCCGCTGCTATTCTACGCTTTTGTACTAAATCTGGTTGAAAGTGCTGCAAGTTCTTGGCGTGTTGCAAGCACACATAAACATACATACATACATACACACTTAGCTAGTGGTTAGTCGTGTTGCTGGCGTTCCGGTTCTACTTAAAGAACGAAAGTGAAGACGCGATTCATCATCAAGCGAACAACAGCCAGTTTGTGGGCTCGTTTGACTTCACCATCACTGCCGTGCATATGCCAACATTCATTTTATATTTCCGCTCTAAAGTTTTCTGCTTAAATCATTAAAAATTGCAAATTTTCCTATACGTTTGGTGTAAAGTTGGAAGTTGGCTGATACATACATATATGTATGCATGTATTTGTGGCGTAAAAATCTAAGAAAAACGTAATAGTTTCCGGTTTCGTCATACAAAAGATCAGTGTTGTTGTTGTATAAACAAAAATTGGCAACGGCGGCGGCAGCTGTGGTCGAGAATAATTTGCAAACAAAAAAAAAGAAGAAAAAAGTACGAATAAAAAACAAAAACAAAGCAAATGCTATAAACACACAAGGAATATCTCAAATAAAAATAAATGCAAAAATATAAAAAATAAATCATTAAAAAAATTAAAAAAAGAAAATTAAAAAGTTATAAAATAAGATACAGAAAAAAGTACGAAAAGACAAAACCAACGTAAATGCTATAAAACATAAATAAAAGTAAAACATTAAAAAAGAACACACAAAAAATATCCCAAACAAATTTAATACAAAATAAAACAAAATAAAATATAAAAGATTAAATAATAAAATAAAATACCAAAAAAATAAAAATAAATAAAATAAAATACTAAAAAAATAAAAAAAAAAATAAAATAAAATAAAAATAAAATAAAAAAATAAAATAAAATAAATAAAATAAAATAAAAAGATAAAATAAATGAAATAAAATACAAACATTTAAAGAAAAAAATAAAATTATAAAAATTAAATAAAAAAAATAAAATATAAAAAAATTAAATATAAGAAAATTAAATAAAAAAAATATTACATTAAAAAATTTATAAGCTCATAAAAATTATTTAAACAATTAAATAAAAAAATTAAATAAATAAAAATAAATATAAAATAAAAATTTATATAAAATAATAATAAAAATACATAACAGGAATTTCGACAGCTTGTACCAAACAAAATTAATATAAAAATAAAACATACAAACATAAAAAACTAATTAAAAAAAATTAAATGAAAAAGTAAAACAAAAAAATAAAAAATTAAATAAAAATATTAAGCTCGTAATACCAAACAAAATTAATTTCAAAATAAAACAAAAAAGAAAAATAAAAGATCAATTAAAAAAATAAAATAATTAAATAAAAAAATTAAATAACAAAACAAAAATTTTAATAGAATAAAACAAATAAAAGATTCGTAAGCTTATCCAACAAAATTAATTTAAAAATAAAGCAAAAAAAAAAAATTAAATAAAAAATTAAATAAAGAAATAAAACAAATATAAAAAAAATTTAAATAATATAATAATAAAAATTTAAATAAAATAATAATAAAAATACAAAATAAATTATTTACGAGCTTATATTACCAAACAAAATTAAACAAAATTATTAACCAAAAATTATTTATAATTTATAATTATTAATAGAAAAATAAAAAAAAAATAATTAAAAATTAAAATTAACAAAAGCAAAAAATAAAAAATTCATAAGCTTACGGAAAAGCAAAATTAAGTAAATCATAAAAGTTTGTCAGTTGTCTACTTTATCTTTGCCATTCATACAATTTCTGTGCGTTTTATTGCACATTTCTGAGAATTGGCAGTTAAGTTTAAAAAAGTAAATATAAAAAAACGTACGAAAGGTGCGCTCAGTCAACACAACAAGAGCGGAGATAAACTGTGCAAAAAAAGTTGAAAGAGAAAAACAAAAATAAAGTAAAAATTAAAAATCAAAACAAAACAAAACGAATGAAAAAAGGGAACAAGTGAAAAAGCAAAATAAAAAAGGTGTAGGAAAGAAATAAATGAAAATTAAAAAAACGCCGGTGGCGAGTGTGTGAATTACCAACTCTGCACATATATATATATATATATATGTATATAAATATATGTACTAAATATGTATGCATGTATTTATGCGAACAAGTTTCCAAACGCATACCAGAAACGCCAAAAGAAATATTGAAAATCGACGCAGACGTTTCAGCGATATTTAAATCAGGTATGTCCATTGATACCTACATACATACGCACACATATGTACATATTTACCTACATATGAACCAATAATAATTCGATTCATACACTTGTGTGCTAGTATTTATTAGTGGGAATAAGCAAAAACTAAATATTTTATGCAATACCACATGAATGAAATATTTTGAAATAAAAATTAAAAAAATAAATAATTATAATAAACGTCACAGTTCGAGGCTACTGATGGTTAGTTAACCACTTAACACTCTCTTTGTGCTGTCGTGTGTTGATTGAGAGAAATTGTTGAACTAAAGATCCTCGGAAGTCTCTGCATATGTGTGTGGGCTCCTGGCTGAGTGTTTAGTGTCCCTACGAGGGTAGTAAGTTCCTTCTCTTCAGGCGCATTGGACTTGTTGTAGCGTATTTTTGTATTAGGATTTCAATCTCTTGATTGTACACATAAAGGAGTTTTCAGGGGGTTTTAAATCCAGTAGGAGCTGTATTTTTTTGACATTTGAGAATTAAAAAAAAAATATTAAAATTTGCTATAAAAATTTCAACGAAAGATATTTTTGACTAATGAGACGCATTTCCACCGCGTTAGCTACGTCAATAAGCATAACTGTCGCATCTGGTACTTGGAAAACCCAACTTTTTTTTTTGGTTGAAAAGCCGCTCCATCCTTAACGTGTAACTATTTGATACGGTTTATGGTCCGGCGGATGGTCCGAGAGATGGTTAATAATTTTTTTTTATAGCCTGTATTGGCTGGTATTGATCTGGGCAACGTTTCCTTTCAACAAGACGGCGCTACGTGTCACACAAGCGACGTAATCGTTGATCTTTTTAGGAGAAAGTTTTTTTGAATATCAAAATAACATCTCTTATTAGATTATTATTTAGATCTCTGATTTAGAATCCTTAGCGCAAGCTAATAATTAATTTACCACGGTAAGGCATGCGGCTAAAATCCAATGGTTCCCGCGATAGTCAGGTCTTTATGCCGAAACGACCGGGATTTTTATCTGGCCAAGGACTGTCACTCCCGCGAAATTCCACAAAAAGTACTTTTAACAATATTTTTGCGGTTACAACAACAGCATACAATACATATCGGTTTTGTGGTTACAAGAACATCATACAATATATAGGTTTTTATACATATATAATTGGCGCTTTGTAACCGCTGAAGCGATTTTTTCGGCCGAGCTCCTCAAATTTTTATGATCTTGCGTCTTAATGTTTTACCAACAAATGGAAGGACCTACAGTTTATACTCAAGCCGTCTCCGAATGGCTGATGGTTTTTTTTATGACGAACCTTTTTTATTTCATGTCAGAAATACACTCTGAGGGGTGGACATTCCCTGCCGAGGGGCGCTCGCAATTGGAAAATTTACAATACTTTTTTATTTAAATTCATGTTCTACAACTATTGGATTTTGGTCGTACCAGAAGTCGAACCCTGACCTTCCAAATAGCCGTATGCAATGCTAACCGCTCGGCTAACGTGGCCGCCGCCGTATCGGTTTATAGCCGTGTTATAAAGAAGAACTTTGCTTTCCAAGCCAAGCCCGGATTTCCTGCTTAAAATTCAATGGAAACCGGGAAAAGGAAGTTCAGCTGCGGAAATGTGTCGTGTATGTAAGTGAGCGTCAAAATATGGGGTTTGTAACTTCAAAAAACAAAAAGCAAAAAAATAAATAAAAATACTATAATTTTTTGTATAAAACAAAATCTCAGAAATATTCCGTGAAAATTTCATGTCGATCGTTCTAAAACTCACTGAGATACCGATTATCTCGTAATCGTGCTCAAGACAATTTCAATTGCTTTTAAAAACTTAGACGCGATTTTCTCAAAACTTCTTTTCTCAAGTCGGTGCGTAACGTATGTAACTCAAAATGAAATGAAATGTTGCACATATCTTTTATACAATAAATACTTTCGGAGATAAGACCGCTTTTATATAAAATTTTTTTTTTTACTATTTTTATAGGCCGATTTTTTACGTGAAAACGGTACCACCAAATTTAAAACCGCGCCAAAAATTAAAAATCGCATATTTATATTATATATATATATATTTATAATAATCTGTCAATTAAATTTTTTTTTTTCTAATTTCGGGGGACACTGTGAGGCCAGGTTTTACGCACCGCAAAACGAACTTTTTTTGAAGCGACTCCGACCGACTCCGACCGACTTGCGCCACGGAATGAATAATAATAATTTTTGAAAAATAATTTCCTAGATATTCTACCTTTATTGTGACAAAACTTGAATAATTATATCGCTCAGAAATGGGGGAAAAAATTACAAAAATCTGCTTTTTTTAGCCTCGGAAACCATCCTGCTCCCTTAAAAATAGATCACGTTTTTGGCTTTAATGTAAAAGATGTTATATGTTTGCGATTGCTTTCATTGATTGTTTTCTTAGCCAAGTTTAAGGTATTGTTCTATCACCCTGGTGGCTGTATCATCCTGCAAAAGCTGGCGTGACAATAATGACCCAAGAACACCTGTCATGCGGAACATCTGCCGTGATTGGATGCGCTTCTGTTATGTAATCATTTACTTTTACTAGGTACTACCTGTCGGTTGAATAGGATTCAAGGATATTATGTGTCAGGCAATGATTATTTTATTTTGCGAATAAGTTGGTCAAGTGCTTGAGTCACATCAAGAAAAATCAAACGCCGAGCATCAGTACTATCTGAATTCGAAAGCTCTTCTCCTTACATTAGTTATGCGGTTTACTTGCTCAATTGTGCCATGTTTTTCGCGAAAACCAAATTATTGTGTAGGAAAGGTGAAACTTCTGGTAGCAGCACTTTTCCGAAAAGTTTGGATAGGTTGACTGGTCTATATGACGATGGCAAGTTTGCGTCTTTACCTGGTTTAGCTATCATATAATATTTATCGGCGACTTTTCCCATATTTTTGGATTATTATACATCCAAAAATATGGCACTGAAAAGCTTTGCATGAAAGTTGTTGGAAGTTCGTTCAGCCTTTTTGATGTGTTATGATTAGCATCCAGAAGACTTCGTTGGCTCTAATACTTTTAAAATGATTTATTTTTTTTTTTTCAGGAAATTCCTTTTTTATTATAAACTTTGAACCTTGGTATTAATGTGAAACACGACATCATTCAAATGACCGCCTCGCGAATTTTTCAAAACTTCGATCCGTGTTTGAGTTAATTTTCGATAAGTTTATGGCACATTTTGTGCGGTATGTCTGCTATAACTTTGACGAATTTTGAGTGTCGAGTGCACAAGAGTTAAGATTTATTTGCATAAACACAATCTTTCACGTAGCCCCACAAAACAAAATCATCAACAGTGTCAAACCGCACGATCTGGGTAACCAATTGACATCACCAGACTACGCAACCAGGAAATTTCTCTCGCAAAAAAGCCATATTCACTCGTGTTGTACGAGTATGGCATGTGACACTCTCTTGTTGACTACATAACCCTGTAGCGGTTCGCTAACCCCGCTTAGGTACAGGTTTGATTAATCTAAGTCGCCGAGGTCATCTAATGGGAGGACCAGGAAACGAGTGGTTTGACGGGATTAGACCTAAGCGAGAAGGGGGTTAGATAAGTTGGTTTAAGGGGGCATGTGAAGAGGTGGTGAATAAAAAACATTAGTTTAATACATAACCCTCGGCAATGATAATGACAGTCTCGTCGTAGTCGTTTCAAAGAGCGCAACAGATAGTAGTTTTTTTTTAGTGGTGGCCTCTCTTCAATTGTTTGAGAAATCTTGAAGCCCGAAATGGTACGCTGAAGAAACTTTTGTTCGAAAAGTCGTCGTTTTTGCTAGTTGTTCTAGCACCCGATTGACGCATGTACGGCGTTTTGAATAGTCAACTAGTTGCCGTCTAGATGGAAACAGATCATCGAACAAAACTGCGCATATTTTAACTAAATCCGATCACTGTAACACTTTTTATAAAGCATTGAATGAAGAGCAAAAAGCGGAAGGGAGATATTTGACAACCTTATATAATAAAATAAAATCAATAAAATAAAATAAAAATACTGAATAAATAAAAATTGTGAACATAATAAAATATATTAAAATAAAATTAAAAATAATGGAATAAAAAAAGTATATGTACACCATTGAAAATAGAAGAAAAAATAAAAAGAAAAAATAAAATCTCTGAATAAATAAAAATAAAATAAAAAATAAAATAAAAATAATATAAACCAATGAATATACAAAAAAATACAAATAGAACAAAGTAATGTTAAAGAAAGGAAAATTAAAAAGAATAAAATGAAATTGAATTAAATAAATTTATATTTAAGTACATTGAAATATGGTAATGAAATGGTAAGAGCTTAATTGAATATAAATGAAATAAAAATAAAATAAAATAAAATAAGCTATATACCAGTATATAAAAAGCTTTGTCCTGAGTCACTGACAGATCACTCCACAGCCTAAACAACTGTTCGTATGGACCTGAAACTTCGAGCATGTCTTCTGGGTATGACGTATGCATACGGTTAATAAAGGCGATATATATTAAAAAATTTTATATTAAATTATTTTGCACTCGAAAAAAATTGTCTTTTGTAAAAATAAATTTAGGAAATTCTTAACGATTTTCTACCCCGCCGAAAATGACTAATTTCAAAAGAAAAGATATCTAAATATTTTTAATTTTTTTCTGTTGCATATATTTGCTCTACCAATGTGTGTGAATATTATACACATATGTAGGTGTTTTTTTCTTAATTAACTTCTTTACAAAATTTATAAAAAAAAATTAAATTTCGAGCTACAAAAACTTGTCTTTACTCCAGACTTCAACTTTAGTGTTTAAAACGGTGATCTTCACCAATAACGACGCAAAAATATATATTATATATATATATATATGTTTATATATACATAAATATTTATAATATTTATGTATGTTCATATATAATCTGTAATCCTTTTCATTGTTTCGTATTCACAAATAATTCTATCAATATTTTCAAAATTCCATATCTTGCTGTGG